AGGGTTTAGGTTTTAGGGTTTCCTTGCGTATCACGTGATTACAAGAATTGCTGTTGCTCTGGATTCTGGATTTCTGGCCGATGACGGCCCAAGCTCTAATGCTAAACCTTAAACCTTTAACCTTTACGTATCCCCATGCTGGCCACAACAGGCTCCTTGAGCTCTTTTACCATGGTCGACCAGCCCAAGTTCATGGGTGGTGCGACACAAAATGTCCAGGGCTCAGTTACTGGTTCACAGCTGCGATAGTGGGAGTGGCCACTGGGACGCATGCTACAGGTGTACGAGGGTTTGGGGTTGAGGGTTTTAAAGGGTTAAGGGTTTAGGGTTTAGGGGCCAGGGCTAGTGACTAGTGTATGATACGGGATTTCGTCTGACGTTTTGGTTTGTTTGGTTCTCGGCTCCGTTTTCGGTTCAAGACTTGCGTCCTTGACCCGTGCCGGTTGACCTGCCTGGATCTTTAATCAAAACATACGCTTCTTCCAAATTCAATTGAAAAGATTCTATGGTGCCTTTAAGCTTTTCATTAGATTTCTAAAACGTCCAGGGCCAATCTTTCATGTTCGACCCGTGTAGACATGTATCCCATGTAAAAGCCTTTCAGCCTTGAGAACAGGGACTGGCAAACTCCCAACCGTGAACCCGAAAGCCGAATCCCTAAACCCCTCCACCCCTAAGACTATCTCGCCCGGATCGTCCGCAGTGACTGCTTGAATAAACCCCTAAGGCCCTAAACCCTAAACCCATGAGACCCAACACTCTAAACACTTAAGACCCTAAACCCTCAACCTCCTACACTGTAAGCCCTTAAGACCCTAAACCCTAAAACCCTCAACCCGAAACCCTAAACCCTAAACCCTAAACCCTAAACCCTAAACCCTAAACCCTAAGCCCTAAACCCTAATCCAAGGAAGAGAGGCCCGCTGCAGAAGCCGCTGGAACCAGCTCCTCCACTCGCGAGTGAGGCCTTTGTGGGAACTCTTGGGGTGTGGCCCATACACTCGACCCTAGGGTTTAGGGTTTAGGGTTTAGGGTTTAGGGTTTAGGGTTTAGGGTTATTACCAACGTGATTGAATCTTTAGGTGATCCTTGAGTTGGACGGAGGATTTTCGACCAAAGGGTCAACCCCACAGCTACAATCTTGTTCTCGTGTTGCACAAAGCCAAACATAGCCCACCTGCAGGAGTTTCATTCTCGCTTCGGAATACCACCCTGCGGTCGCCATTCCTTTTCCTGTCCTCGTGATTGCTGTCCTTAGACCCCAAACCCTCAACCCTCCAAACCCGAAGAAGCCATGACTGATTTCTCCGAAGGCACTCAGCCGAAACGTGGGTTCGTGACTTCTCGCATGCTCCCTCAAGCAGCTTTCCTGGACCTTGGGGCCGGTATAGATTGACTCCATTGCTTTAGTTGAGTTTGTCGCCAGCCCGGGATGGAAGGCCGAGAGTTTGTGGAAGCACACGTTTCTCCTGTGTGTTCCGATCCGAAGTCTCCTACTTCGGGGTCATTCGGTGCACCGGAGGGCTCAGACGAAGGTCAGGCACAGGCTGTCGACGGGAACATGACTGAAATGCTGGCCGAGATTGTAGGCGACTTGGAGTTCACAGACAAGGACCTTCTTCGTGCTGTTCCAGCCTGCCGAGCCCTCCACGGCTTTGGCCGTATGCTTCGGAGACACAGCATAGATCCATCAAAGCTCTACAACACAAGTGAACGTGTCGACCGGATTAATGAGTTCTGGTCACACAGCTGGAGAGCTCCGGTATTTTGGAAGGTGTGGTTCCTTCTCATGCTGAAGAACGGCAAGGCCGCATGCATCGTGGGTTCCATTGTTGCCTTTTTCATGGCGTGGCTGACGTACATTGAAGCTCTGCCGGGCCTCTACTTCATGCCTCTCAACACCAGACCAGGATTCGAGATGGAGCAGCTGGGGAGCAATTGAGGGGTTTCTGGATGAAGCTAGCTTTCCAGACAAGTCATTCTCATCAAACGTTAAACTGCCTTAAACCCAAAACCCTAACATCGCAAACTGTAGCTACTCTTCAGGTCTCCCTATCTAGCCTCGGCTTATCTAGACTTTGAACCCTAAACTGCCCAGAGCGCTGCTGACCATTTGCATGGGCGCTCGAGGCTCTGACCGAAGCCCACGGCCGAGCGTCTCGACAGGACGGTGTGGGAGGGTAAACCCTCGCGGTTTATAGGGACGGAAGCGACTTCGGCCATGTCTCATCAGTTCTAAAGAGGACCCCAATCCCGCACCACTGGCGTCTTGTGCTTTGTGGTATGGCTTGGGGCAGATTCGAGAGTGACCTGCAGAATATCCGGAAGCTGGAACTTGTGGCTTGCCCACCCTTATTGGGGTCTGGCCTGCAGGGGGGGGGGGGTCTGGGTGCTGATGTATAACTGCAAGGGTGGTTTCGCTGGAAGCCATCAAACAAAGGACGTGCGGTTGAATTCATTTTTCCACGACTGGCAAAGTGCTGGACTGCAGCACTGCTGCTTGGTACATGCCCGTGCTCTGCACTGTAACATGTTTGGTGCCTAGAAAGGCGCTGTCAATGCATTGTCATGAGACTTCGGTGCATGCATTGGGCCTTCAAGCCAGCAGAGGGAGCATCTCGTTCACACTTCAACACTGGGGCCCCGGGCCGGCAGATTCCAGGACCGGCGCCTTTTTCCGTATGTTTTGGGAAATTGACGGGACACCTGGGCCGGTCCCAGGGGGCGACTTCTTTTACCAGGATAAATGAGTACACTTCGAGCAACCCTCACAGGGTGCGAGGGCGGGTTGTTTGTTGGAAACCCTTGCTTCTCGTCGAGCGGCCGGCACAGGCCGTAAGGACCCACAACCCGGACACCAATCCATGTCAGCTGTGGTTTGCCGTGAAATGTGGTCGTTTATGTTTCGAATTGCGAGAGCAAGCAGAGAGCAAGAAAGCCTTTCTTGAGAGGGGTTTAGGGGGTGAGCCCTAAACTGGTGCAAGCGCGCGATAAGTGGGAGTGCCCCTATTCCTAAAGTAAAAGGCGCACCCACCGCGCGCACAGCGTATATACACACACACACACCAAAAAAACTAGGCCCTATAAACCCTAAACCCGAAACCGTGTAGGGTAACCATAGTTGGGGTTAGGGATATACTATAGGGGCGTAAGCAACGGGTCATTATGCTATTGAGCTGCATCCGCGACAGGCACAGATACAGCCCTTGGTGTCTTATTGGCGGGTTGGTATTCGCATTCCTTACCTTGCTGTTCTGGCAGTCCTCTAGCCCAGTGTTTCTGGATCGTGCTTGCATTCATCAGGGTGATCCGCGGCTGAAAACAGAAGGCATCTTGAACATCGCCGCATTTCTGAAGGCGTCCAAGTCACTCGTGGTCGCGTTTGATGAGAGCTACCTGTCGAGGGCTTGGTGCGTGTTCGAAATTGCAGCCTTCCTCAAAAGCCATGAAGGTGAAAGTCCACCGCCTGTGGTAATCAAACAAATCGCGGTCGCACCGACCACCTTCGCCTTGATCATCTTTTCGTCGCTGGTTCTGTTATACACGATATGTCTACCCGCGTCGGGTTATCTCGTTTACATGCAGCTGGCGTTCATGGTGGCCTTCGCTGTGACAAATCACATCATGCTTTTGCAACTGTGCCAAATTGTTTTGGATTCAATGTTGTCGGGTTGTTGGCAGTTTTTACTGGTGATACGTCTTTAAAGTATTGCTAACGCGGTTTTCAAGCCAGCACTTCCAATCTTCTTAAATCCCACATCCGAAACTTGAAACAATGTTTAAGCTGGACCTTCGAGCAATGGCTACCTAACATTTGAACCTTTACCCTTTCCCTATGAGTAGTTGCAAAGCCCCCGCACGGCCTCATCACTCAAGGCGAATGCGGCGAAGTACTTCCCAGGCAGAGGAAGATTTCAAAAGCTTCCGGTGGGAAAGCTGCACATGCCATTGTTGCTCCGAAGGGTAACTTAGCTGTTTCGCTTGGTATACATAATATATATATATATATACGCAAACACATATACAATCATGCGTACATACGCAGGTCCACGTGCATACATACGTACATACATACGTACAGACATACAGACGTACATATTTACAAACGGATACGTACATACATATACTTGCTTGCTTAAAATCTTACTTACCTACTTATTTACTTACTTACTTACTTACTTATTTATTTATTTATGTTGATAGAACATGCATGTATACATACCATGTATATGTATACACATTGCTGATTTATGTATGCACACATACCAGTGTATAGACACATAAATATGGGGTATAAACAAATAACTATGTATATATATATATATATGTATCTCTCTATCTATATGTATATCTATATATCTATGTATATATATATATAGATCTGTATATGTATACATGTGTGTGCATACATACTTATGTACACATATATATATATATATATCTGTACCTATATGTATATCTTTATCTATGTCTATATCTATATATCTATATCTATATCTATATCTATATCTATATCTATATCTATATCTGTATCTATATATATATATCTATATCTATATCTATATCTATATCTATATCTATATCTATATCTATATCTATATCTATATCTATATCTATATCTATATACATGCATACAGACATACACATTGCATGTATGTGTGTGTATATATAAATATAAATAGATATGTCTGTATTTTTGTATGTATGCATGCATGCATGGATGGATGGATGGATGGATGGATGGATGGATGGATGTATGTACGTATGTACGTACCTAGGTATGTATGTATGTATGTATGTATGTATGTATGTATGTATGTATGTGTATATAGTACAAATATATGTAATTGTTACTTGTCTGTATCTGTTTATTTCTGCATGTTTCCGTTTCTATGTGTATACGTATATCCCGCATGTGATACGCGGAGATCGTTTTGATTTCCCGGCTTTGTTTTTCCCCAACTGCCGCACAATCGACATGGGGCTCTGAAAACTTAGAAAACGGCGAAGCATTGATTGCTGAGGCACGAAGTAAATGGTGTGGCACTTCCGTGTGACAAGGAAATCCTGGCAACATGCATTACCAGGTGGTTTGGCTCAATAGAAGCTTTCGAGAACTGTGTCAGACGCGACGTTTGTACAACATTCATGCGAGAACTACGCCGCCAGCCGCTCGGATACCAATGGTTGTTGGCAGCATCGACCTTCATTCTGTGGGGTGAGGCAGATTTGGCCTTAGCGCGGGCAGGCTCCGGCGATTTCTACCATGCCGCATTTCTGGCGGTGTGGGGCTTAGCTTGGTGGAGTTGCATTGCTCCCGCCCAGTTTGCTGTTTTTACAGCTATCGCGCGATGGCAAGACGGTGGGAAGCTTCGCATGTTGCGATGCATGATTGGCATCAGTGCTAGTGTGCTCAACGTACTCAGTCCTCACATTTTCCAATACGTGTGCTGGCGGCTGCTGCTTCCGAACTATGTGATGGCATTCGTTGTGATTCCTTCGGGCACTTGTTTGGCGGCTGTGGCAGCGATTTGGCTGCTGCAGAAGCCCTGCCACAGGAATAACGTGGAGACACACTCGGCCTAAGAAGCTCGACTTCAGCGTTGGTGCATGCATACGTCTACCCTCAGTAAACCAAGAGGGATCCGTTTGCCGTGGTCTGTCCAGACCAAAGCGAGGATCCACGTGACTGCGCGATTGACTTCGTGCCGCTTGCTCGGGAGGTGTGTTTGCCGTGTCCGATCCTCAGTTTCAGTGTGTTTTAATTTTGCAGGCTTGACTGCATGTCAAGAACAGCAGTGTCATAGCACATGTGACCAAAACCATTTCCAGAGACATGCCTGCATTGTGGAAGATCCTTCGTAATTCGGTGGAAGGCGTTCTTTGCCAAGAGGCTCTCTGACAGAAAACTTGCTGTTTTATGTGATGATGTGTTGCAGCAACGTTTGGTTGCACCTCGCCCTGTAGCATGAGTGTGCATGAGCTTCATGGCGTAATGCTGTCTGCATCAGCTGTAGAATGGCATTTTTTGCGCATCTGAAGGGTAAGGAATTCGGAAGATCCGATCCGACATCTCTTCCTTGACCTCCCGTGTGTATGTAGCGGGTGGAGTATCCCGACACTTCGTAGTCCAGAGAGAGTAAGACTCTCTAGCTTCGTTTCACTGCTCACTGCGTAAACACGCATGATGCAAGATACATCAGAAACCAATATCTGCTCATGTGGTAAAAGAAAGCTTAGGAGTTTTGCGCGGCAGAATGGGCTGAAGGCATTGGGCCATCCCACGCACCTGGGATGCTGCCGGCAACCCCGCGGCTGGAAATCATGTTGGTTCAACGCAGTCGATGTCGATGTCTGACTAAACCCCAAACCGGGACCCTAAATCCCAACCGCACTACGTTCCAAGGAGGTCAGCCATTCTCAAGGAGCCCGGTGGAACACTGAAAGCCCTTAGATCCAAACGCCCTATAACATAAGGTCACATGAGGTCCGTAGGGTTCCTTGTGATGGCAGTATTCTGATTTCCCCCAACAGTTTTTTTGTTTATTAGGCCCGCTATGTTATAAGCCCCTGTAAATCTCAAACTGGAAGCTCGCTATAGGTCAAACCTCTGAATGCCCAGCTTCAAAAACACCCCCAAAAGCCTAAACCGCCCTTTGGCCCGAAGCTGTAAAGCCCCAAATCCCTAAAATCCTCAACCCTACATAAATATAAATATATATATATATATATATATATATATATATTCAAAGCTTTCACTATGCATGCTGCTTCGATTTGCCTGCTGCTTCAACTTTGCCTGCTGCTAAATAATTACCAAAACTATTTTGGGGCACCTTATTATAATCATACTATAACATACCAAAACCCTTTCCAATTCTTTAAGGCCCCTAAATTACCCAGCTAGCCCCAAACCCATCGATATCCGCAGGGCGTAGGGCTTTATGGTTTTGAGGTCCAATCCTCTAGAAGCCTATATTATTTGGGACCCCATCACCTTAAACCCTTTACCCTAAGGGTCCATGTACCCAAGTAGTATATACTGTGGCCCCAAAGTACCCAGATAGGCACTTGGTCACATGGACCCTTAGGGGAATGGCAAGACACGCCAGGTCGATTTGCAGACTCCGACTTCCAGGCGTAGTGATGGCTAAAGGAGTCCAGCTGACAATATGCGCCCCCTCCAGGTTTAAGGGGCGTAGGGTTTCAGAGCGTAGGGCCTGATTGATTACACTATTTGCTGTCCCTTCCTTACTATACCCTAAACCCTAAACCCTAAACCCCTTACCATGATATACTCCAGGCTGTACTAGTCTAGGCCTGTCTTTTACAGGAGTCCAGCTGATGCATAGCTGCATAGCCCCAGGGTTTAGGGTGGAAGGATTTCTACTTATACGGGTCGATAGTAAGCGTTTAGGTTTTAGGGTGCTAAACCCTAAACCCTAAACCTTAAACCCTAAACCTTATGTCCTAAACCCTAAACCCTAAACCCTAAACCCTAAACCTTAAGCCCTATACACCCTAAACCGGTTTAGGGCTTGGGTGTCAGAGTTGATTCTGAGGCTTCTCGGGGGTAGGCTTAGGGCATAATTGTGTCGGGCCGGGGCTTGCGGTTTGGGGTGTAAAAAAGTGTTTAGGGTTTAGGGTTTAGGGTTTGGGGTGTAATATAGGGGTTAGGGTTTATAGTTTGGGGTTTAGGGTGTAATATAGGGGCCTTAATAATTGGAATAGGGTTTTGGGGCCCCTTTTTCCAGAATTATAATATAGGGTTTGGGGTTTAGGGTGTAATATAGGGGTTCGGGTTTAGGGTTTAGGGTGTAATGTAGGGGCCTTAATGACTGGAATAGGGTCTTGAGGCCCCTTATACTATATTAATATGAATAGAAGGAACACCCACAATAGTACATAGGGGTAGTTATTTAGGCCCCTACATTATGTAAGGATCCGGGCTTCAAGTTTTCGGATCCTGAGGCTTAGGGTGCACAGTTTAGGGTAGCGGGAAGCCTAGTTGAGGGTTTCAGGGTTTAGTTTAGGGGGTTAGGGATTTAGGGATTTTGGGGTTTAGGGTTTAGGGGTTTGGAGGATGTTCCCTTGCTATGCGGGTTCCAGCTTGGTTTCAAGTTTCTTTTGCACACTGAGTTGTTTGAGGTTGAGGGTCTGCGCCTCAACACAGTCGACTCATTCTTGACCTGCTCCTCCTTCTCTGATGTTGTTGCCATTGCTTGGTTTCGATATTTCCTTGCCCCACATATGAGTAGCATTAACGTTGCTGTCGCTCCTCATCGACACCATTACTGCTATTTGTGCTACTGCAGTGTTCATTTGCTGTTGTTTTATCTCACCAACTCTTCTCCTCGTTGCGGCTGTCTTCTTCCCCGCGCCATTGGCTTTATTTCATGATCCGGTGAGCCCTAACCTCACTGTGAGTTGGTGTTAGCCGGATTCTATTCTTCATCACATCCTTTTCACAAAGTAAGCCATCCTCTGCAAGAGCCCTTGAGCAGCACTAGAAGTTCGTCTAGAACTTTGCGAATGCCTTTCTTTCTTCTGCAAAGCCTGAACCAGGTCCAAGTACCCAAATAAGTTTTTACCTATAGTATTTTGGGGGCTCGTTATTATAGTTATAGTACAATATACTCCAAGACCCTATTCTAAGTATTAAGGCCCCTATATTACACCCTAAACCCCAAACTCTAAACCCTAACCCCTATATTACACCCCAAAACCCTAAACCCTATTCCAATTATTGAGGCCCCTATATTAAACCCGAGTTAGAAGAAAGGGACCCTAAACCCTAAACCCTAAATCCTAAACCCTAACCGTTAAGAAATGGGACTCCTCCGCCATCTTCGCGCACGGGTGGCGAGCAAAGGGACTTTGTGAGGTCGGAGGGGTTCCTGGTCTGGGCGCTCGGCAAGTCGTAGGGTTTTGTGTTTAGGGTTTAGTAGGGTTTATAGGGTTTAGCATGGTGTAGGGTTTTGTGTTTAGGGTTTAGTAGGGTTTATGGTTTAGCATGGTTTAGGATTTAGTAGGGTTTAGGGTTTAGTAGGGTTTAGGCTTTAGTAGGGTTTAGGGTTTAGTAGGGTTTAGGGTTTAGTAGGGTTTAGGGTTTAGTAGGGTTTAGGGTTTACGGTTTAGGGGTGTGTCTGACCACGATAGCAAGAGTATAGATGTCTGCAGAGTCACCTAAGCTGTTCCTTAGGGCTCCGTGTTATCGTCATCCTATTGATTAGCCGAAGCCCTGTTCCAATTATCAAGGCGCCCATATTAGCATCCGACGGGTTATTTCTCAGGGCTTAGATCCTTGCAGTACCCCTTGTAAACTCCAAGCAACCCTGCAGTAAACCTCATTTTCGTTTTTGCTAATCGCATTATGTCCTCCCTTGTTCTGAATGTACCGATCTGCCTCGCCTTGCGATGATCCCGAGATTCGGTTGTTGAAACCTAAAGCATAAACCGTCTGCATTACGCTCCAAGCGCCGGATGGGCTCACCATGGTTCAAGTCGTGCTCGGCAAGCAGTTTTTTGCTCCTAACCTGAGGAACGTGTTCTGACGGTCGTTTTGTTGATTTACAGAAGCCTGCATGCAAGCGTCACTTTCTAGCAAAGCGCCACTAGAATTAGTACCAAGCGCATTTTCCGATTCGAGGGAAGTCTCAGCCGCTGCGACCCAGCCGCCGGGCATTTTCTCCCGGTGCGAGACGCCTTGAACCTTTGCACAGGACCTAAGAGTGCCGCGTTTCCATTTCAATTCACAGAGGACCCAAAGGAGCTCGACAGAGGTTTAGGGTTGAGGGCTTGCAGAACTGTGAAGGAGCTCACACTTTCATGTGCATTGAGGCTGGTGACCTCAAACCTTTGACACGGTCCCTGGGTCCTCCAGCTTAGTTTAGTATAGGGGCCTTAATACTTGCCTTGGCTATTTAGGTGGTTCCTTATTTTAGTTATAGTATGATATACCCCAAAGCCCTATTCTAATCATTAAGGCCCCTACATTAGTCATCCGCCTAGCAAGGGAGCGTGCCCCCGCAAGCTCTTACGCTGCAGCTCCCGCTCTTTAACCCCCCCCTGGGCAGCTGCGAAGGGTCGTTCCAAGGGCCCCTTTTCTTTTTTGTTTTTCAGGATTTAGATTAGGGTTTAGGATTTAGGGTTTAGGGTTTAGAGTACTTTACAACGGTTTAGGCTTCATACGGTTTAGACTATCTGCTTGTTTGTTGGGACCTTAGCTGAACCTTGATGTATAGACATTATAGGAACCCTCTAAGAAGTGTCTTCGGCAGTTTTGGGGTTTGGGTTTGGACGAGCCTTTCCTTCCCGGAATCGTCTATCCTAGATACTGTACCCTGAACCCCTAAACCTTAAACCCTAAACCCTAAACCCTAAACCCACCCAAACCCTAAACCCTAAACCCACCCTAAACCCTATAAGCCCTAGATCCGGAAGCATGATACTGTACCCTGAACCCTCGAGCCGATCCCGAAAGCCTCCTGTCAACTCCTAAGCTCTGAAGGCTCCCCCATCCGAGCTCCAAGGAGCCTCAAGAATTACCTCTACTCTTTTTTTGGGGGGGCTTCCTGAGTATAGTT